CTCTGTCTCCCTCTCTCCTGCCCCTCTCCTGCTCGTGCTCTCTCAAAAATAGATAAAAATTTTAAAAAAATAAAAGAGAATGAAACCTTGCCATTTGCAACATGGACAGAGAAAGCATAATGCTAAGTGAAAGAAGTCAGAGAGATACAAATACCATATGATTTCACTCATGTAGAATTTATGAAACAAATGAACAAAGAAAGAACAACAACAACAAAACCAGACTCTTAAATACAGAGAACTGGTAGCTACTAGCGGGGAGGTGGGGGTGGGGGGATGGTTGAAACAGGTGAAGGTGATTAAGAGCACACTCATTGTGATGAGCACTGAGTGATGTATAGAATTGAATCACTATATTGTATACCTGAAACTAATATAACAGTATGTTAATTATACTGGAATTTAAAATAAAATAAAACAAAATTTTCTTATTTAAAAAAATTTTTTTAACTTTATTTTGAGAGAGAGAGCAGGGGAGGGGCAGAGAGAGAGGGAGAGAGAGAATCCCAGGCACTCTGCACTGTCAGCGCAGAGCCCGATGTGGGACTCAACCCATGAACTGCGAGATCATCACTTGAGCAGAGATTGAGAGTTGGATGCATAACCGACTGAGCCACCTGGGTGCCCTAAAACAAAAAATTTTTAACGTGGAACCAGAACTCTGAGGGCAGCTCAGCCATGGTAGGTCAGTGACGGGAGTTGGAATGGGGCTGCTTATGTTCACTTGAGCAGCCGATTTACAGTCCCACAAAGGGCAGGGTGGGACAGAGAGGACTGAGGCTGGTTTATCTTCTGTAACTAGAAGACTTAACAGGTCAAAGGGCTTCAGGCCACTCAAACCCTACCTTGACATCGTTGTTTACTGATCCACAGGCCCAAGGAGGATTCCCTGCATGTGGATTTGGAGTCGGATTCCCCCACCCAGAGATTTCCGGAACTAAAGGGGAGACTGGCTATCTTTCCTCGAACTGGCAATCACAATGTGCCCGTCTGCCTTGGCAAAGAAGGACCACGTTGGTCTGCTCGTCCATGGCCTCCATGGCCCTCATTGTCCCGCCCTCCAGTCATTTGTACAAGTTGTCATCCAAGGGGGTATTTGAAGATGAAAATGTGCAGGACCATACTGCTGAAGTGTTACCTTTGTTTCCCCTTCCAGCATTTCCTATTATCCTTGGCTCAGCACAGCACAGCCAGACCAGTCTTGTTCTTTGCTTTAAGGATGTATTAGGAGAAAACAGAGAGAAAGGAGCTGCTTCGGGCATGTGAGTTGTAAAGGCCTGGCGCCTGAGAGAAAACAAAATAACTCCAGGTGGACCTTGTCTGAGTGCCTGATGGGCCCTGAGTTTCCCAGAGCTACGGTAAAGCGCAGGTGCTGGAACACCTGCTCACACCCCAGCATTAGCAGAGAGCACTGGACCCAGAGGAAGTCCCGGATGAGGGATAGACACACAGTAAAGGCACGTGTGTCTCTATTCAAAATCACCAAAATATGGAAACAGCTCAAGTGTTCGAATGGATAAAAAGAATGCAATACAATTATATCCACACGATGGAATATTATTCGGCCACAAAAAGGAATGAAATCCTGGCACAGGCTACCGCATGCATGAGCCTTGGAAACATTATGCTGAGTGAAAGAAGCCAAAGACCAACTATTCCATGATTCCATCTGTACGAAATATCCAGAATAGGCAAATCCACAGGGACAGAAAGATCAGTGGTTTCCTGGGCCAGGGGAGAGGTAGGGTCAGGGAGTGACTGCCAGTAGGTACTGGTTTCCTTCTGCCCTGGTAAGAATGTTCTGGTTGCACAACAGCGTAACGGCACTGAATGCTACTGAACTATATACACTTTAAGATGATTAAAATAGTGACTTTTGTGTTATGCTTATTTTACCACATACACACACACAAACCCGTGTGCCTTTCCTGCCTGTGGCTATAAGGAACCCTCTCGCCTGCTCGTCCCCTCCCCCCAACACACGGGTTCCACAGATAATCTCCTGTACCTTCTCTTTTGGCCAGCCCTTCCTGTCACCTACCCCCCACCCCCACGCCCCAGGTGCCATGCCCACAATGGGCCAGGGTCAGAGGCCTCCCACCGGAACCGGGGCTACGGGGGGTTCAGCTGTGAGGACTGACAGTCGTCATGTTCCTCAGAGTGATTTTCTCACCTAAATCCTTCACTTCTGCCTCCTCACCCCAACCCCCTACTCAGACACTTAAGGACAGCTCTGGAGTAAGGGAAGCTTTGGACAGTCTCTTGGAGACCCCTGGGGGGGGGGGGGGGGGGGGGGGCCCCGGGGGGAAAGACAAAACCTCGTTTAAAACATTAGCTATTCCCATGGCTCCAAGGCCCAAGGCAGCCAGCCTCTAAGGGGGCCACGGCGGGGGAGGAGGGGGGCGCGGGAAGGTGGGGGCAGCCCAACCTGCAAACAAGGGCTGTGTGAACCCCATCAGATCATGGGCCCGGCTCAGGGCGGTGTCACGGACACAGGCCCTCCAAAACCCTGAGCCTTCGTGTCCAGCTGGTGTGCCCACCCTGATTCGTGGTCGCGCCGGGTCACAAGCACCCCAGGATCACCTACTAAGCCCCCTCCCTAGTCCCAGACACCCCAAATCACGCTTTAGGAGCCTGAGGGGTGGCAAAACCCCATGCTTGAGAGGACACCCACCTCACAGACCTCAGCGGACGGCACACCCCCGAGGGGTCCCGACCCTTTGCCCCCGGGGGCCTATGGGTGACGAAAACTCTTCTGTACGCCTGAAAGGGCCCCCGGAACTTTAGTGGGGAAGCTGGCCCGCTTCTGAGGCTCCTGCCCCATCTGGCGGGGTCCGCGCGAGCCCCTGCCGGCTTTACCTGGGTTCTGCCGGCATCTACGGTCCACCTGGAGAACTACGGCGCAGGGCACCGGAAGTCCCCGGGAGCGAGTCCAGCCGCGAGACGCTGCGAGCCGCTGGACGAGCGAGCGCACGCGGCCCGTGCCTGGGGTGAGGATGTGGTGCCCTCTAGAGGCCGCGGGACCGTACGGCCGGGGACCGGGTGGGCGCTAGAGGGCCTCTGCGGGCGCTAAAGGCTGGCAGGTGCGGGACCTAGGCGGACTGAGAGGCGAGCGATTTGTTCAAGGTCATAGGGAGACACAGATCCGAGCCTTCTGGAGTTGAGCCTTTGGTATTCCGCTGCCGCTTGTTAAAGAAAACAAAAAACCCTCGCACACTCATGCCTGCCCGGAGCAATGAAGCTTAAGTGTCAGGGCACTTCATTTGCCAAGGGCGCTCTTCAGGGGCCCAGAAATGTATTCACATGGTCGTGTTTGTTTTTACGATTTGCAGAAGTGAACCATTTGAGCTGTTAAGATTGGTTAAGATCGCTCTCTTCCCGCTCTGACTCTCTGTCACACTTCCCCTCTGGTCCTGGAGAGGCCAAGGGCCTTTGGGGGCTGGCTAAGGGGAAGTTGAGTTGAGGATACATTTAATGTGCCTTTAATGAGAACTGTTTACATATGTAGTTATTACTGGCCATCCTGGGGTAGGAATGACTTCCGGGAATAATCCCACCGCCCACCTGGCATCATGACATCGAGCACTACAGCAGCTGGGGTGTGGGAGGAGGAGAAATGAGGTTTAAAATGTACAGAGCCGGAAGCTAGTCTGTGGGAAATTCTTCCAATCACCAAATACCTAAACTTGTGAGCAGATCAAAACAGAAATTTTTCTTCCTAAGAATATCATCAATAATGCAGTGAATATAATTGCAAACCCCCTATAAAATGAAATTATTTTTCAAGTATGCCCATATGTAACCAATAGAAACAATTCTGGCATGGAAAAGTAAACTGTAACAGTTTTTCTTTTTTTCACATCATACCAAAAGGGAAAGCGATACATTTTGAATAGAGCTAACATATGGGTTCTTGGTTTAATAACCTACTCAATGAAAAGAAGTGAAGTATACGAACACAATGGGAAAAATATTTAACTTTCTTGCTGATTTGACCAAAACACTGACATTGACAAAGATAACAAATCTCAGACCTGTAAAAGACATTGAGGTCAAGTTGGCTGATGAGAATTGTCAATTCAGAGTATTTAAGATTGCTCCCTGAACATGAACCCTTGATATGCTCTGAAAATGTACAGCTTTTCATAAAAGAAACTCAATAGAGGTCCCCCCATATTTGACAGCAGTCCCCTAAATGAGTAACAAACTCTGAAGTGGTAAGTTTTCTAAACTATAAATAATGAAAACCAAATCCCCATCAACTATGCCAGAAGAAAACCAGAATGAATTATCTTTCTATCCTCTTGCTAGAAAATATTACAAAATTGTTGTCACACAAAACGGTGCTGAAAGAGTCTGCAGCCAAAAATCGTAGGGGAAAAAAGGCTTGTAGGGGTTTGTCGGGCAGTTAACAAAACTTTATGTCAGTTTTCTGAATTAGGTGAGATTTGAGGTATTTCTCAGCCTTTAAAATGCTATATGTTAGGTGCCTGGCTGTCTTGATCTCTGGGTTGTGAGTTTGAGCCCCGCATTGAGTGTAGAGATTAGTTTTTTAATGTTTATTTATTTATTTTTGAGAGAGAGGGCGAGAGAGAGTGAGCAAGCTTGAGCAGGGGAAGAGGGCAGAGGGAGAGAGAGAGAGAGAGAGAGAGAGAGAGACAGAGAGAGAGAGAGACAGAGAGAGAGAGAGAGAATCCCGAGCAGGTTCCATGCCACCATCTCGGAGCCCAACTCAGGGCTCAATCCCATCACCCTGGGATCATGACCTGAGCCGAAATCAAGAGCCAGACAATCAACCAACTAAACCACCCACACACCCCTTTATAGATTACTTAAAAAAAAAAAAAAAAAAAGTATGCTGCGGTGCCTGGGTGGCTCAGTTGGTTAAGTGTCCAACTTCAGCTCAGGTCATGATCTCGTGGTTCATGAGTTTGAGCCCCACATCAGGCTCTGTGCCTGGAGCCTGCTTTGGATTGTGTCTCCCTCTCTCTCTGCCCCTCCCTTGCTTGTGCTCTCTTTCTCTCTCTCTCAAAAATAAACATTTTTTTTAAAGTATGCTATGTATTGTTTTCTTTCTGAATCTGCATAACATTCTTCTCTTACCTAATTCTGTATCCATAATGTTCTGTTCTTTTTTCTCTTTAAGGGATCCCCAAATCATAAAATAAAAAACCCCACCAAACCTGGATCTACTCTCCCACACATGTGCACACGCACGCCCATGTGCACACACACAGACACACTCATATACACGAAAACCAAGAAGAACCACAGGCTCATTGAGTAAAAAGAGGCACAAGACCCCTTCCCTAGACACATTTGTGTGCTTCGGAGTTGCTCTTTTTATCAGTTAAAAGGTGCTGGTCATCAGACTTCTACTCCAGAAAATATATAGAATCATAAAATGACCATAGATTTGTTAAAAGCTAGATCCAGTGAGAATTCTTTTCACTAAGTAAGCTCATTTTACTAACAAAGCTAATTTTCCTGGGGCACCTGGCTGGCTAAGTCGATGGAGTGTGTGACTCTTGATCTCGGCGTTGTGAGTTCGAGCCCCATGTTGGATGTAGAGATTACTTAAACATAAAATCTTTTTTTTTTTAAAGCTAATGTTCCTGTTGGTTTCCCCGATGCCTTCCAATCCTTTAATGTCACCCCCAAAGGAATTGCAGAGGACAGCTTTGGGCCATTATTTCACCATTCCCCTTAGACAGAAGGAGTGGTTTTTCTTCCTCGTTAGCCTGTTGGGTATTTTAAGATTGTCATCATCTGTTATGCAAAAGAGAAAAAAAGAAAAAAGAATCAAAGGAAAATCAAACTTATGTTTTGTCTTAATATTTCACGAGCCAAACTTCTTTCATTTTGTTCAACTGACATTTGTAGAAAGAGGTTCTTTTAAAGTCTGCTGCTCAGAGTTAAGCAGTCACAACCTGCAGAGAGGTACCTCGTCCATCTGAATGTGCAATAATATCCTCGTTGGTCGGGAGCTTCTAGTCCCATGGTGGTTTTTTCCTGTCAGGCTGTACTAGAAGAAGAAACATAAGAGGCATAAGGGTATGCCAGATGGTGAAAAATAGGTTTACGGCACCAAAATAGTGTTGTTTTTTTATTAAAAACTAGGCTAGTATTGAATGCCAGAAGGTGTGAAACCCAGCTCTGAGTAAGAATCTCCACATTTAGCATTGATCTTGGCCCGTGTGAACCTCCCACCAGGGGAAGCAGAGTGGGCCCACCAGCCTGCCTGGGGACATTGTTGCCAGGCTACCTGCACAGCATCCTGGAGGCCCAAGAGAGAGCAGGTGAGCTTGCTTCTTGGGAGGGTCAGCTTGGCTCCCCAACCCCCCTTCCTACGCTCATGCCCATTACCATCACACCGGAAGTTCTTTGCTAGATGCTGTCTGTAGTCACCCACATCTCTTTCATACTGGATTCCAAAATCTAAGAACCCGTAAGGCTGGAACCTTGACCTCCAAGAAGTTTTAGGCTTCTGCAGCATCAGTAAAGGTAACAGCTGTCTACAAAAGTGTTCCCCAAACCCTTAGCGGCCCATGTCCCTCAAACACTCCAACTTAAGGGAAACCAACATCCCAGAGGATTAGGCTCCTCACTTGGAAAGTCCTTATTTACCTCCATCACCATAGTCTGAGTTGGTTAGTGTTTGCTGCAAAACAGTCCACAGCCAAGCTTAGTGCCTTACGACACCAACTCTAGATTTAGCTCTTGATTCTGTGGACTGGCAAGCTGGGCATAGCTCCACTGATGCACGTGGCTCACACCCGCATGTACAATATCCACTGCCAGGGTGGCTGGGGACAGTCTGGTCTGCGATGGCCTCAGCTGGTCAGATCGTCTTTCTCCCATACGGAGAGCAAGCAGAAACAGCAATGAAGCCCAAGGCTTCTTGAGAGGCCTGGACCAGGCACGATGTTTGGTATTCAGATTGGTCAGAGCAAGTCCCAAGACCAGACCAGGTTCCACTCTGATGGGAAGAGCCGCTCTGCATTGAAAAGGGAGGGTAATAATTGTGTCTCTCTGTTTTCTTTAAAAACTTTGTATCATGGAGCACCTAGCTGGCTCAGTTGGTAGGACATGCAACTCTTCTTTTTTTCTTAAGTTCATTTATTTATTTTGAGGAAGAGAAAGAGAGTGGGGGGGGGGGAGGGAGGAGGAGCAGAGAGAGAGGGAGAGAGAGAATCCCAAGCAGGCTCTGTGCTGTTAGCTCGGAGCCCAGCCAGGGGCTCGAACTCATGATCCATGAGATCGTGACTTGAGCTGAAATTAAGCGTCTATGCTTAACCGACTGAGCCACCCAGGGACCCTGAGTGTGAAACTCTTAATCGCGGGGTTGTGAGTTTGAGCCCCACACTGGGTGTAGAGCTTACTTAAAAAAAAAAAAAAATTTTTTTGTATTGTGGTAAAATATGCATAACATCAAAATTACTCTTCTATCCATCACTACTGTCCATTTCCAGAACTTATTAAAAATAGATTTAAAAAAAAATGCTACCTTTTATTCATTTAGCACTTTTACAGTTAGTTCAGGACCATTTCTTTTCATTGCCTCAAAGAATCTTCTGTGTTCTGCCTATTCATCCCTCCCTCTAACCCAACCCCTGACAACCACTGGTCTTTTTACTGTCTCCATAGTTTTGCCTTTGCCAGAACATCATATGGCTGGAACCATACAGTAGGGTGGCCCTTTCAGATTGGCTTCTTTCACTAGTGGCATGCATTCACATTTCCTCATGTCTTTTTGTGGCTTGACAGCTCATTTCTTTTTAGTGCTGAATCATATTTTACTGTGTGGATGTACCACTGTTTATCCACTCACCTACTGAAAACATCTTGGTGGCTTCCAAGTTTTGGCAATTATGAATAAGCTGCTACAAACATCTGTGTTCAGGTTTCTGTGTAGACATAAGCTTTCAACTCCTTTGGGTAAATACCAAGGAACACGTTTGCTGAATTACATGGTAAGCCTATGTTTAGTGGGAGCTGTGCTGGGTTTTTTTTTTTTAACTTTTTTTTTTTTTTTAAAGTAGGCTCCATGCCTACTATGGGCTTGAACTCACAACCCTGAGATTAAGAGTTGCACGCTCTACCGACTGACCAGCTGGGTGCCCCTAATGTTTTTTGTTTGTTTGTTTGTTTTTAAGTAATCTCTACACTCGGGGTGTCCAGTTGGCTGAGCATCAGGCTCTTGGTTTCGACTCAGGTCATGATCCCAGGGTGGTGGGATCCAGCTCTGCATTGGGCTCAGTGCTGAGAGTGGAGCCTGCTTGGGATTCTCTCTCTCTCCTTCTTCCCTCTTCCCCACTTGCACGCTGTCTTTCTCTCTCTCAAAAATACAATACAACATAATAAAAATAAAATAAAATAAAATAAAATAAAATAAAATAAAATAAAATAAAATAAAATAAAATAAAATAAAATAAAATAAAGTAAAAGTAATCTGTACACCCAACGTGGGGGGCTTGAACTCACAACCCCAAGATCAAGAATCACATACTCTACTGACTGAGCCAGCCAGGCACCTTGTTTTAAAGAAACTATCAAACTACTTTCCATACTGGCTGTACCATTTTGCATTCCCACCAGCAATGAATGAGAGTTCCTGTTCCTCCATTCTCAGCAGCATTAGGTGTTGTCAACTCCAGAATTTTTCATCATCCCAAACTGAAACTCTGTACAATGACTGCCCCTTCCCCCTTCCTCAGACCCTGGTACCCCATTCTACTTTCTGTTTCTATGAGTTCAACTATTCTAGATACCTCATAGAAGTGGAATTGTGGCCATTTTTTTTTTGTTGAATTGTGGCCATTTTTGAAAACAATCTGTCACCTACTCTTAACAGGTAGATTTTATGGATCTCCAAACTCTTTTTTTTTTTTTTTTACAATTATTTATTTATTTTGAGAGAGAGAGAATGCATGCACACACAGGAGAGAGGCAGAGAGAGAATCTAAGCAGGCTCCATACCATCAATGCAGAGCCTGACATGGGGCTTGTATCCACGAACCGTGAGAGCATGACCCGAGCTGAAACCAAGAGTTTGTCACTCAGCCAACTAAGCCACCCAGGCACCCTCCAAATTCTTCATCATCTACTTCTGTCCCACATTCTGGGTACAGCCATCCTTCCCAGTCACACGTACATAGAATCTCCAAGATGCCTGGTCTCCAAGGGTGTGGTAGTGGAAGATCTTATTCTGCCTGAAGTTCAGGATTCAACTTGGACTGGGGAGTGGTGGTCAGTGCCACAGGCAACTTAGCACAGACCTGCTCAGGTCTCCTCTCTCTGTCCCTTTTGTGTCAGTTCCCTCACACACCAGGGAGGAGACATGATGCTTCTGACATGTCCCGGCTGGCTGGGTGGTGGGGGGGATCAAGAGCCCCTCTAGCTACCAAGACCAACTGTGCTCTTTCCACACCCCTGTGCCTTCTCCCTGAGCTCAGCTAGCAGGAAGCAATGTGGCTGGCCTCTGCCACTCAGCACCCTGGGCACAAAGGTGTGGAGACCCGGGGAGGGAACTAGTGATGTGACCCATCCTTTTCATTGACCTTCAAACCGCTTACAATAACAACGTGACCCCCCACCCCAGCCTAGGACAGGAGAGGTAGAAGAGAAAGGGATGTGGAAAAAGGAGAGAGAGGAAAAGCAGAATGAGAGGTGTGTGGGAAAGAATGAACCTTGCTCAAAGAAAGGTGTGGCCTTTGTCTTCATCTCCTGGGAGGTGATGTCTATATCACCTGTGGAATGTCTTGCCAGATAAGAGTGTCTTTGTTGGGAGCTTAGGTGGCTCAGTTGGTTAAGCATCTGACTCTTGATTTAGGCTCAGGTCATGATCTCGTGGTTCATGAGTTCAAGCCCTGTGTCAGACTCTGCACTGACAGTGTGGAGCCTGCCTGGGATTCTCTCTCTCTCTCTCTCTCTCTCTCTCTGTCAAAATAAGTAAATAAAGTTAAAAAAAAATGAGTGTCTTTGTTTACAAGGGGGCCTGGGACCACACCAGATAGTGTAACAATGTGGTTTATGGTGGGGGCTTTGTGTCACAAGGTTATCAGCTCAGCCTTCACAGAGTGGGCAATGAACCATGTCTACATGACTGAGCTCCAGTGGAAACAGGCCACCGAGGCTCATGTGAGCTTCCCTGGTTGGCGATACTCTTACATACTGTCATACATAGTTGCTGGGAAGAGTTAATGCTGTCCATGACGCCACCAGGAGACGACAACTGGAAGCTCTGTGTTTGGACCTGTCTGGACTCTGCCCCTTGTGTCTCTTCACTTAATTGATTTTAATCAGTATCCTCTCTCTGTAATAAACTATAGTGGTGAGTATAACAACTTTCAGTGAGTTCTGTGAATCTCTCTAGCAAATAATCAAAACTGAGGGTGGTCTTGGGGACCCCTGAACTCTGCAGTCGGTGTGAGAAGTGAGAATGGTCTTGTAGATTGTTGTCTAGTTTTACAAGGGGGTACACAGGGGTGCCTGGGTGGCTCAGTCGGTTAAACATCCAACTCTTGGTTTCAGCTAAGGTCATGATCTCAGGGTTTATGAGCTTAAGCCCTGCATTGTGCTCTGTGTTGGCAGCGAGGAACCTCCTGCTCTCTGCCCCTCCCCTGCTCACACTCTCTATATCTCTCAAAATAAATAAATAAACTTAGGGGCCCCTGGATGGCTCAATTGGTTAAGTGTCCAACTTCGGCTCAGGTCATGATCTCACAGTTTGTGAGTTTGAGCCCCACCTTGGGCTCTGTGCTGACAGCTCAGAGCTTGGAGCCTGCTTTGGATTCTGTGTCTCCCTCTCTCTCTTCCCTGCCCCGACTTGTGCTCTGTTTCTGTCTCTGTCTCTCTCTCTCTCTCTCAAAATAAAAAAAACATAAGAAATTCTTTTAAATAAATAAATACACTTAAAATAACAACAACAACAACAAAGAACCAAGAAGGTACACCGATGGAGAATGCTATCATGTTAACAGTAAATCCAAGAATAATGGTCATAGTGCCCTCAGTCAGATGGGGCACAGGGATGCTTCTGGAAGCCACCTAAGGAGAATCACAAGTTCAGTTCAAACTTATATTGGTTGGTGATGATTGTGCTGGAAAAAATGGCATTCGTGAAATGTCATTTGAGTGCTGAGTTGAAGAAATATGTGACTACATTAGAGGTTGAGGACCATTCCTTTCTATTCCACACCAGCAGAGGACCTGTTAAGTTCAACGTACAGGATATAACTAGTCATAAGAAATTGGGTAGATTGAGAGATGGCTGTTATATCCAAACAGAGTGTGCCATTATGATGTTTGATGTAACATTGAGTGTTACCTCCAAGGATGTGCCTAACTGGCATAGGGATTCGGTACAAGTATGTGAACACATTCCTGTCACATTGTGTGGCAACAAAGTGAGTATTAAGGACAGGAAATTTAAGGCAAAATCTATCACCTTCCATTGAAAGAAGCATTTTCAGGGGCGCCTGGGTGGTTCAGTTGGTTGAGCATCGGACTTTGGCTGAGGTCATGATCTCACGGTTTGTGAATTCGAGCCCCACGTGGGGCTTTGTGCTGACAGCTCAGAGCCTGGAGCCTGCTTCGGATTCTCTCTCTCCGCTCCTTCCCTGCTCATGTTCTGTCTCTCTCTCTCTCTCTCAAAAATAAATAAACATTAAGAAAAGAAAGAAAGAAGTATGTTCAGTCTTAGACATTTCCGCTAAAAGTAACTACAAACTTTGAAGAGGTCTTCCCTTTGACTTGTTGGAAAACTAATTGGAGACCCTAACTTGGAGTTTGTCGCCATGCCTGCTCTTGCCCCACCAGAGGTTGTCATGGATGCAGTTTTGGGAGTGCAATATGAGGCTGGTGGAGTGGGGCCCCCACAGCATGCCCAGAAACACCATCTCCACGGGTATCAGGTACCTCTCTCCTTTTGTGGCTGGTGCACAGTTTCACGGTGTCCACGCCAACCGCGGGTCAGCTGCTCTCTAATGCAGGTGCCTTCCGCAAATTAGACCATTTTAAGTACCTAATAGGAAAAGATACATTGGCTTTCAAAATCCATTTGCATTACAATAAGAACTTTCAACATTTCATCTGTCCACTAAAGGAAGAGCTGCCAGAGCCTTTAAATATAATTTCAACTGTTGCACAAGTTTAAGTGGATGATAAAAGATGGCAGTTGTTTACCTGTGCTAATGAAATTTCTCCTTGATGGTGACTATCAAGCATTCGAAGTGTTCATCGATGAATTACAATGTGGCCGTTGTGAGCATTAAACCTCATATAAAAAGTTACGTGGAAGGAGCGACTATGTGGCTCAGTTGGTTGAGCCGACGCTTGATTTCGGCTCAGGTCACGGTCTCAGGTTCATGGGATCGAGCCCCACATGCAGCTCAGCGCTGACAGCACAGAGCCTGCTTGGGATTCTCTCTCTCCCTCTGTCTCTACCCCTCCCTTGCTCACTCGCTCTCTCACTCTCAAAATAAACACATAAACTTAAAAAAAAAAAAGTTACATTGATGAAAACAAACTGTGGTAGATTGGTTAAAGGCCACCAATCCCTCCCATGCTGGTTTGCACTGTGCAACGTGTCCCCCCACGTCTTCTTCCCATCCAAGGGTGTGTCTTTTTCTCCACTTCCTTACCCGAGTCTGGGCTTGACCTGTGACCTGCTTGGGCCAATAGAAAAGGATGGAAGTGACTTGGGGCTCCCATGGTTAAGTCAGGAAGCTTAAGGGTTCTGCCTTGATTCTCTTGGAAGGTTCTGGTTGCTATATAACAATCCATCTAGCCTACTAGAACACGAGAAGCCATGGAAGAAAGGAGACCTGAAGTGTCCTAGTCCACAGTTAGACATGCAAGTGAAACCATCTTGGACCTTCTAGCCCAGCTGAGCCTCCCTCTTGAATAATTCCAGTCAAAACCCACAGAAGAAGTGCCCAGCCAACCAGCACAATCATGACAAAGCATAGAGTATTGCTGTTTTAGGCCAGTACACTTTGGGATGCCTTGTTATCTGGCAAAGGCTAAAACACAAGGTCAATTTATCATTTAAAAAAAAGTGAAAGGGGGAGCCTGGGTAGCTCGTTGGTTAAGCATCGGTTCAGGTCATGATCTCATGGTCTGTAAGTTCAAGCTCCGCATGGGGCTCTGTGCTGACAGCTCAGAGCCTGGGGCCTGCTTCAGATTCTGTGTCTCCCTCTCTCTCTGCCCCTCCCCTGCTGGTGCTCTCTCTCTCAAAAATAAACATTAAAAAAATTTTTTTTTTAAATGAAAGGATGGGGCGACGGGGAGGCTCAGTTGGTTAAGCATCCCACTCTCGATTTCAGTTCAGGTCATGATCTCTCGGTTCATGGGATCGAGTCCCAAGTTGGGCTCTGCACTGACAGCATGGAGCCTGCTTGGGATTCTCTCTCTTTCTCTGCCCCTCCCCTACTTGAGCTGTCCCTCTCAAAATAAATAAACAAAACAAAACAAAAAACGATAAGAACAGGAGGGGAGTAATGAAACAAAATTGGCCATATCTTGATCATTGTTGAAGCTGAAAATTATCTACTCTTCTATTTTTGTGGGAACTTTTCCATAGTATAAAGGAGAAAATAAAGGGTTGTAAAGATTTCATTTAGGAAATTGTATTTACATAGTGGGTATTTCACCTTTTGTAATCGTTTATATTTCATTTTCTTTACATAATTGCATAATATAGAGAATGAAATAATTTTTTTTTTTTTTTTTTTTTACTCACCAAGCCCCATTTGGACTCTCCAAATACTCACCAGTTCACCCCTGAAAGTCACGGGAACATTATATAAATTTTCTGGGTGGCTCATGAGGTGAACAAGGATGAGGAGCCCGGTCTGACCGCACATCCATAAACCCTGCCAAAAGCAGCTGGCGCCCGCACCAGGGAGGGTTCCAACAGGGCAGGAGCCCTTCCCCCCTCCCCCACCCCCCGGCCGCGCTCTCAGGCGTGGGAGGAGACGATGAGGAAGTCCAGCCTCCTGGAAATCCAGCTTGGCCCTCCTTCCCTCCCTGCTGTCCGCTCTGTGGCTCCGTAGTGGCTGTGCCCAGGCCCGCCTGCCCGATGGCGCGCGCCCCGGCCTCCGGGTGGGGGTGAGAGTGCTGGGAGGGGCCGGAAAAGGCGGGTCAGCCTGAGTTACGAACCGCTCCAAACCATCCGGGGAGGGGCCAGAAGCTTCTCTTTCAATGATCGGGCAAAGGCTGTCCTTCGATCTCCTCCTCCTTCCTTGCGAGGGGACGGGTGGCAGGCGCACCGCGTTAGGTTCCCAGTCGCTCTGGGGCGCCCCGGCTTTAGGAAGCGGGGAACCTCTGCCCCTCCGAGTCACACTCTCTGGGAGCCCCGGCACCCCTAGGCTCCGATCCTCGACGGCTGTACGCCCTCACGCAGCCCCAACGTGAAGGGCTGAAGGGGGGCCGCGCCGAGGGCCTGGGCCGGGACCTGCGCAGTCCCCAGCGGGGCACCGGGCGGCCGGGAAGGGGGGGGGGGGGGGCGCGGCCCGGGCTCAGCGGTGAACGCCCCCCGAGGCAGTCTGGAACCCGACTTTCCATCGCCTCATCGATCCCGTCCCGCTTCCTAACGACGTTTGGAATGACTGATGCGAGCTCTCGGGCCTCGAAGCCACCCTCCCAGGAAGCCCTCTTTCCTTGCAAAGGCGCGCAGACCCCGCGGAGCAAGCGGGGACGGAGGCGGGAGCATGGTGGGGGGCGGGGAGGGGGCGGAGGAAGGAAGCCGGGGGGGGGGGGGGGGAGGGAAAGAGGGAGAGAAATGAATTGCATTGGCCAGTCGCATCCGCAGCGGATGATGCTGACACCCTCCATGCGGTCCCCTCCCAGGGGGGCAAGCGCTCCGCTCCCCCACGCCAGGCTGCAGACAAATGAACACAAAGCACGCGGACTAGAACATAAACAAGGGTATTTTATGACTTCCTTTTATTTATTTATTTATTTAGCACACTAATTAATAAATAAACTCCTGCAACGCGGGGGGGGGGGGGGGGAGAAGTAAGCAAGCAGAATCCAAACATCCTCTCTGTTGCCATTTGGTTATGTAAAAAGGAGGAATTAAGGCAAGTTGGTGGTGAAGAATTCCTCCAATGCCACGCTCCAAATCAGAGCCCCTGCAAGACCTGAAATCAAAAAGAAAGCGGGCACCAGCAGCAAGCACAGAAAGTGGGGCAGAGGTCTGCCAGCAGCTCACATATTGTTCCTGCTCCTAAGGGGACGATTGTCACATGTCACAGAATTAGGCCCAGCTGTAAGCCACCAGCCCTACTACACACCACCTCCTAGTAACAACCCCTGCCTCCCCATTCACTTTCTTTCTGAGCAGGGATGGGCTCCGAGGCAGCTTCCATTGTACCGGGTCCCCACCTCCACCCATCATGGCCAGAGGTGCTGGGGCAGGGAGTGGACACCTGCCCCAAGATACTGGGCCACAGGAGTCCCCTCACCCAGGAATTTAGGACTGGATGGAGAAAGAGAAAATAGTGTTTATGAAGAGCCAGACGCCATTTGGTGTAAACAGGGGAGCCCTGGCGGGTTGTAGGCCTGGGGAGACAGAGGGAGCAGTCTGGGAGAAAAAAAGGCCAAGGGAAGGAGGAAGAGAGGGGGAGACAGAAAGAGAGAGACAGGGAGAGATGGAATAAAGAGCTGCTGGCACAGAGGGGCAGGATAATGCTCCCTGCTGCCTTCTAGGCCTTTCTGAGGCCCTCGGCAGCATCCTCCTCCCCCCATATTTGGTAACAATAATCCCTGTCTTCTGGTTCACCAGGCGTCTGTGACCTGTAACCTGAAGTTCAATGAGCTGGAAATTTCTGTTGCTTGTACTCAACGGGTACAAATAATAAATTAGGCATTTAGCTATGCCTAAATAACATAGCTTCAAATCAAAGCTTCCTTTATCATTTTACTTTAAAGTTTTTTGATTGATTTATTCTTTAAATGTGTATTTATTTTTGAGAGAGAGAGCGAGAGAGGGTGAGCACAGGTGGGGGAGGGGCAGAGAGAGAGGGGGACAGAGGATCCAAAGTGGGATCCATGCTGACAGCAGAGAGCCTGACACAGGGCTGGAACCCACGAACCTAGAGATCATGACCTGAACTGAAGTCAGATGCTCAACCAACTGAGCCACCCAGGCGCCCCTAGATTTTATTTTTTAGAGCAGTTTTAGGTTCATAGCAAAATTGGGACGAAGGTACAGAAAGTTCCTATATACCCTCTGCCCCCTCCACATGCACAGCCTCCCCCGTTATCAACATCCCACACTAGAGTGCACATTTGTTAAACCGATGATTCCACATTGACATGTCAGTATCACCCAGAGTTTGTAGTTTACCTTAAGGTTTATTCTTGGTGTTGTACATTCTATGGGTTTAGACAAATGTGTAATTGTTACTGATTGATCTATCATAGACTGCTAAGTCAGGAAATGAACAGATTGAGCCCTGGCACTGCCCCAGCCACCTGCTCCATCCGGTGGGGGGGGGGGGCACCAGGGAGGTTGGGGGCTGGACAAGTGGAAAGCATAGCTCCTGGTTAGGTTTGCCAATGCTGTTGCCAAACTCAGGTACAACTCATCATAAGAGAAGTCAATAACTCAAGAGATGAAGGTTTAGAAGAGAGAAAGGGAGAAATTTATTTTGGGTGCCGGCAACTGGAGTTGGTGGCAGGCTCAAATGACCTCTCAGCCTGTAAGATGGACACCTAGAGTTTTAAAGAGAGGTTTGGGGGTATGTGCAAGAGAGCCGACAGGGAGCGCATGATCACAGGTGGGGGTCGGTATGTGTTCAGCCCATCATTATAGGCAGGGAAGGGAACATGTCGGGTGTGGCCTTCTAGGCATTCCGTTGGTATCAGAGGTTTTCTGGTCTGGTGGTTGCAATGTTCCGGTCATTGCAAAACATCTTCGTCAATGCCTCCAGAAAGTGAGATAAGAAATTAACACAATGGGTTTTAGTTAGAGCATGAGTTAAGCGGGCTTGTCTATTTCTGGTTTTAATTGTTGGGGTCTATAGTTGAGCAAGAGGGCTGCCGACATAATGACATGTATCCACCATTGTAAGCAGCATACAGACTACTTTCATTGCCCTGAAAATCCTCTGCACTCTGCCCTTTCTTCCCTCCCCCTAAGCTCTGGAAACCACTGATCCTTTTCCTATCTCCATGGTTTGGTCTTTTCCAGAATGTCAGATAGTTGGAATCATGCAGTATGTAGCCTTTTTGGATTGGCTTCTTTCGCGTAGTAATTTACTTCTATGGTAGAAGTTTTCTGTTTACATTTTCCCAATCCTTCTCTCCTTTGGTGGACACATTATCTAATATCTTCTAATTGAGGGAAAAAAGCTTATTTTGGGCCTACCAATACATTGGAAGCAAAGGCTTTTTACTTTGGGAAAAGGGAAAAATGACACTTGCTGCACTGGAAACTAGAAGTCCCAGCATTTCTAATTTCAGCCACAATCCAACCTGCTGCGGAAGTAAGGACCACAGTCCAACCTGCCTAAAGCATTCTCAGACTTCTGAGAGTCTGGAATGCCCCCCAGCCCGGCATCCAGGGAACCATCCTAAGGGCTGCCTTTCCTCACTCCGGGCAGCATGGTCCCATCTGCAGTAAGTAGAGGCTGGTGATGCTCTGCATCGAGGCAAAACCATGGGGACCCCCTTTCCCTGGAGGTCAAGAGCATCGTGCTACTGGCAAACTCAATCCCCACTCTGACTCTGTGGCATTCTCCCATCAGCTACAATAACCACAGCAATAGCAGTTGACATTTCCTGACTGCTAATTATATGCCAGGTCCCTTGTGAAGCACTTTACATGTATTTATTTAATCCCCCCAACCTAATGAGGTAGGTAATAGTAGCATCCCCTATTTTATTTTGTTTTTGAAATGGATTTATTTTTTTAGTTATCTCTACACCCAACGTGGGGCTTGAACTCACGACCCCGAGATCAAAAGTTGCATGCTCTTCCAACTGAGCCAGCCAGGTGCCCATATCCCCCATTTTATAACTGAAGAGGCTGAGTCACAGAAGAATTGTCACATGCTCAAGGTCACACAGCTTAGAAGTGGCCTAACCAGGATTTGAGTCCAGATAGTCTAGTTCCAGGTTCAGCTGTGAACCACTGTGTTGTGATGGGGAAGATATTAGTTATATCTATTGCTGTGTAACAAATGTCTTCAAAACGTAGTGGCTGAAAACAATGGACTATTACTATCACACACAGTTTCTGAGGGTCAGGGATCTGGGTGCTCTTGCTCAGAGGGTCTTGTGGGGAAGGCTTTCCCAAGACTTGACTGAACCCAGAGGATCTGCTTCTAAGCACATTCATGTGACTGTTGGCTGGAGGCCTCAGTTCTTTGACACATCGGCTGCTCTGAACAAGGCTTCCCCCAGTGCAGGTAATGAGGGGGAGAAAGGAACAGATATTGAGAGATGAGCCACTCTACCTTTTATGACCTAGCTTTCCAATCACATACATCACTTCTGCCTTATTCTATTTATTAAGCCAACCCACAACTCAACAAGAGAGGATTACACAACGACATGAATACAAGGAAGCATAGATCACCGGAGGCCATCTTGGAGGCTGGCTACTACGAGTTATGAAGACAAGCTAAGCCGAAAAGGACCTTGCCCTCAGAAAATCCTAAAACCTGCTTCAGAGGTGATAGCAAAAAGCTACTGAGCCCCGTGCAAATGTTTGTCGCCACTCAACAAGCCCTTCCCCTGTGCCTGACACATTTCACCAAGCACTATGGAGAGAGGTGGACTCATCTAGAACATGAGCTCTGTGAAGACAGGCTCTACATCTTAGATGACATATCGTTGTCAGTCTTCCATGAATATTTTTAATTGGCTGACACTAAAGAAGTAAAAGATGCACTCACTGCTTTTAGAAAGTTAACCGAGTTTTAAAACAATATTAATTACATTTTATTTGCATACCTTCTGTGGTAAAATATACGTAACCTAAAATTTCCACTTTAACACATTTTTCAAATGTCCCATTTAGTGGCTTTTAAGTATATTCACATAGTTCTGAACCACTATCACCACCATCCAACTCCAGAACTTTCAAATCATCCTAAATTGAAAAAATCTGTGCCCATTAAACAATAACTCCCCAGGGCACCTGGCTGCCTCAGTCAGAGGAACATGTGACTCTTTATCTCAGGGTTTGAGTTCATGCCCCACGTTGGTGTACAGATTACCTGAAAATGAAATCTTTGTGTGGCTCGACTGGTTAAGCATCTGACGCTTGATTTCAGCTCAGGTCATGATCTCACGGTTTGTGGGATCCAGCCCTGAGCCCTGTCTCAGGCTCTGTGCTGACAGCATGAAGCCTATTTGGGATTCTCTCTCCCTCCCTCTCACTCTGCCCCTTTCCTGCTTGTGTGCTCTCTCTCTCAGAATAAAACAATAAAATAAAATAAAATAAAATAAAATAAAATAAAATAAAATAAAATAAAAACTTTAGGGGGCCTAGATGGCTCAGTTGGTTAAGCATCTGATTCTTTTTTTTTTTTAATTTTTTCAACGTTTTTTATTTATTTTTGGGACAGAGAGAGACAGAGCATGAACGGGGGAGGGGCAGAGAGAGAGGGAGACACAGAATCGGAAGCAGGCTCCAGGCTCTGAGCCATCAGCCCAGAGCCC